ATAATATAGCATTGGAGAATATGTATCATTACTTAGAATATTTAGGCTCCATTGGGGAATTTCTAGTATTAGTCTTTTTCTAGCGTGATATGTATTTAGTTGAAAACCTAATGTTAAGATATATATATATATATATATATATATATATATATATATATATATATATATATATATATATATATATATATATATATATATATATAAAACTCTTATTGTATCCTTTTTGGTGGCTTCATGAATCTATAGTTTAACTTTTGGCTTTTAATTAAGTTGTAATTTTTGTCTTGTTAAGTAGAAATTCTAGTATTCTATATCATTTATTCAAAAATTATTTTTCATTAAAAGTTTAGGTCCCAATAGCATCGTTTTCCACATGTTAAGTTAGAAACTCAGCTTGCACCTTGGCGTTGAGCATGTTGAATTTGTTATATCACAGGATTATATGTGTATTATTGTTTTATATATCGTAGGGTGCTCAAATCAAATTACTAATATTTAAAATAACTATTCTTATTGACCTCTATAGATTTTTTTATCCCCAAGATTAGGTGAAACTACTGTGTTTATTGTATCTTTTATTAACTCTTATTTTGGCACTTTTTAAATAAAGATTTTAAATCGTAGAGTGTGTTCTTAAATACTACAATAACATAAGAAATCATTTTAAACCTACACCATGACGCTTAAGAGAAGTGATAGAGCTTGAATTGAGATTGCACTTTTTGTGATAGAAGATGCTGATAATTTGGATGTAAATTTAAGGTGATATTTGGTTCTTGTAGTAATGAGATGAAAATGAGGTTACCGAATTATCTATCATAATAGGAGGACGTGGGTAATTAGATACAAATTTAGGTCTATTTTAGATCATGTGTTTCTTAATGACATAGGTGGGTACCTTAAATTAAATATAGAATCATTGATTACTTTATATTTTAAATTATATTTCATAATGACAAATCTAGGTAATTTAGATGCAATGTTAGGAGGTTATTTTGAATCATGTTTCATAATAGCAAAAGGTTAGTAATTTAGTGCAAATTTAGGTGGTTATTTTGAATTTTTTTTGTAATGGCAGACATGGATAGTTTATAAACTGATTTTGAATTATCTTTTGTAATGGTAGATGTGGGTAATTTAGATGCAAAAGTAGAGGATTACTTTATGTATTTTTCATAATGACAGATGTGGGTATTTTTTCATTAAATATAATAGATCTAATGTCTATTATGGGTGACGATGATTAGAGTCTACTAAATTAAAGGCTAGAAGTTTCTAGCTACTGTGAGAATTTCTAGGATTTATTTTTCCTTAGCTTATCTGATGAGAATTAATGTAATATGTCCATCGGGACCTCTGCAACCTATAAATCAAGTGCTAGCTATTCAAGCACGGTACATTTTCCCCTCATGACTACTAATCACTTGATGATTGATGAACCATCTATATATGAATTACCTTCTCTCTGGCAGCAGCATGTATTGCCTGTAAGGTTTTTTTGTTACAATTGTGTAATAATTTCAGTTCCAAATAGAATGACTGCACTCGATGTGGTTAGCAACGCTTTTCATGTTATAATAATTAAGTGAGATAAATTTTAAAAAATAGCCTTACGCAAACCTCCATCTACCTTGGTTCAGTATTAGCAAGCATGTAAGTGCTGCGCGACTCATTGCTTCTCTTTTTGTAAACACTCGTCTGCCTATGTAATGGGAAACCAATCAGCAGGATGAAATGGAATTTTCAAGAGCACCTCAACTACCTCGACCATGTATTCAGGGCAAGTGTCCTCCACAATCTAGGCCTGGGCCTTCATAGAATAGCAATCCATTTTAGCGTTAACAAAGGCACAGTGCCTGTTGTAAAGTTTGGATCTAGAGTTAGAACCAAGTTCAATATATAGATATCAACAACTTTGTTGACAAGAGTGAGATCTATAATATGTCCCTCCCTATAATTGTCAACCTATCAAATCAAGGGATTCCACAATCCAAAAATATATATTGTTACTTACAATCTAAAATTATTCTTTGGGTGGAGATGTAAGGCACAATGAAAACAGATCACAATCAAGGGGAAATACAGCTAATGCGAATCAACAAAAGGTTGAAAGGCATTAAGATCTAAGGAGAAATGAGCAGGCCAGGACAGGAATCAAAGAAATCATAAGTTTGAATCACCACTAAGAATATAGCACCTCCTCATCATTGCATTCATTCAGAACATCACCATGTCCATGTGGGAACTGTAATTATGCACACTGTATTGCATTTTTGCAGGACGAAACGATTTTATTTTTGCTTGCAACATACATCCCCATTCACTTGTGTTCGATATGATCCTATCCTGAAAACCATGGGCATAAAGCATAGGAAACAGAGACTGACCATAGTAGGAAGAAACTGAAACGGGAAAGTAGCAGGCATCATGCTGAACCACCTACAGGGCCATGCTGAAGTACGCTGCAACAACCCCACGGTTTCAACGATTTGCTGAACAAACTTTGAGACATCATTAGGTTTGCTTTGCCCAGGAAGATAAGCCTGTTGAACCTATGAAACAGCCTGCTAGATGGTTGGTAAGTTGTGGCGATTACTGTCTTCCCATCCTGCAGAAAAAATAACAAAATTAAATATGGACTGAACGGATGACATTTTATCCGGCATTACTTGTTACTTCCACATCACCTGAGCTATGTCATGAAGAAGCTGAACGATCCTTAGAGCTGTAGTTACATCCAGCCCAGATGTTGGCTCATGCAGAAACAGCAAAGATGGCTTGTTGCAATCTCAGTTCCAATGCAAACTCTTTTCCTTTGCCCCCCTGAGACCCCATGCCCATAGGAACGCACCAAGCGGCAGGGCAGCATGGCGACGGAGGCAGCTGGCACGAACGGGGGAGACGCGTGGAGGCCGCGCCGGACAGGCCAAAGGCGGAGGACGCAAAGACACCGCGGAGCGGAAGCCGCGGCGCACCCGTGTGGTGGCCGCGGCCGCGGCCTAGCAGCGGGCGGCGGCACGCGCCTGGCCGCGGGGCGCAACGGCAGCACAGCAGCCCAAGGCACAGCGACGGCGGGACGGCATGAGGAGAACCGCACATGGTAGATTCATGAGAGGCTTTTACCTACGTATCATTATAAAAGTTGATAATTATCTATGAAAGCCATTAAAAAATGTTGAGTTCTCACATGTGCTACTGCTGTGAACTCTTTTGCCCTTCACGCCACTTTCGTCAGATTTGGCTCTAACGATGTCAAACCGTGATTGTGAAAAAGTCAAAAATACGCTCAGGTCTGAATATGCAATTAATTTTTTTTTGGCATCATAATGACCTCAAATAAAAAAACTAAAAACTAGAAAGTTGTAGATCTCGATAATATCTACAATTGCTGTATAAAAATTATCTTCATTTAATTCGATAAAAAATATGATTTGATATTATTAATGTCTTAGAAAAATCACATTTTTTTTGTACGGAATCAAATGAAGATAATTTTTATAAAAATATTGTAGATCTCAACGAGATCTACAACTTTCTAGTTTTGAGTTTTTTCATTTGAGATCATTAAGATGCTAAAAAATTAATTGCATATTTAGACCTGAGAGTATTTTCGACTTTTCACACCTGCAGTTTGACAATGTTAGAGCCAAATCCGACAGAAGTGACGTGGAGGACAAAAGAGTTCAGCGGCATGGTGCGAGAGGAGGGGGGAAGCCGTGCAGTCAGGCGTGGGAGTCTTTTTTTTTTGAGAAGGGGAGGCACCAATTTATTGGACGCGAATTTGGGGCGACGTGGCTCAACCGTGTCTACATGGAGGGAATTTCGGGCGACGTGGCTCGCTGTGCAATTAACGGGTGACGTGGCCGCTTCGAGGTGCCGGGGAGCAACATAGGTTTGGAGAGGTTAATACCGTGGATGCGCTGAGCGGCCGCCGAGGCTTGTAAACATGGGAACCATGGAGACATAGCTTCTGTCCACATATTAATAACTCTGAACACGCACAAACTCTTTTTTTTTCTTTCCTTTTTTTCGCATAATCACGCACAAATTCATGTTGACGAGCGAAGTTTGCAGCAACGGAGGTCAATGTAGATTTCACTATTTTTTTATGCTGGTTATTCGACCTTAGTTACATTACTACGTCGCATCCATTAGTCAGATTAGTGTTTGATCTTACTTACTTGGATGTTACTGTATCTGAAACTTATCGCCAATCCCAGTACAGTGACTCTGCATCAAGACTGAAGAAGACGAGGCCCTGAATTTGTGATACGAGGCCCGGCCCGCTCGACTCACAGGCCACCGCCAAGAGTGTGTGCGTGTATGATTGGGCGAAGCCCAGGACCAGGAGGAGGCCTGCGTTTTCAGCTTGCTGTACTGTAATATATGGCCGACATGCCACATTTTCGTAATCCGAACTCGAGTGTGTGAGATCGTGACAAACTATGATCAGATTCGACGCGTTCAGACTCGCGTCGATGGGGCTGTCGGACTCGCAGCGGTGGGCGTTGTTCGGGATCGGGTCGCCACCGAGTCCGAGCCTGCGTACGGGCGTCGTGCGGTGGCTAGACCAGATCCAGGCGGCGACTCCGAAGCAGATATATATGGCGAGAGGAACGTACGTGAGACCGCGGCCGGATCGCCTATTCGGAATTTCGGATCCGCCTCCAACTATCTGCCCAAGCTCGTCTCTTTATAAGCGATCGAGCAGCGGGCGCATACCAGATAACCAGTTCACGACTCATCAATCCGTCGGTCGCTTCCATCTGTTTATTCGCCCGGAGGCCAAGCTAGAGTCGTCCGGGAGGGCAAGGGGATCGAGACTTGAGTCTTGAGAGAGTCGGTGACGGTGAGGCTCGCTGACTCGGACTCGCCTCAAGGACACCCAGCCTGTCCTTATAATAAGGCACCACAAGAGCGCACGGACACAATCAGTTCTGGTTCTCGATCGAGTCGATTCTAGTTCTCGATCGAGTATTGACTCGACTCGACTCGACTCGATGGCATATCAGCTAGCACCGCCCAACAACGGGGCCGCCATCCTCCCCACGGACGACGACGGCGGGCAGCTGCGCCCGCCTACGAAGCTCCTCGGCTGCCTCCGCACCGTCGGACGCCCAACCAGCAAGACGAATCCGCTCCTCGTCGCCGCCGTCTACAACGCCGCCGACATCTCCCGCGTCGACGTCAAGCTCGTGGACGTGGCCTCCGGCGCGACGGTCGCCCGGCTGGACCGCCAAGGCAACGGCCACTTCGGCGTCACCGGCGGCCTCCTCTGCCTCGTCGGCACCGGCGGCACGGTGGCCGTCAGCGTGCTCGACCCGGCCACCGGCGACGTCACCAGCATCCCGGCGTACGCGAACGGCAACAAGACCTCGTCGGCGTATGTGTTCGGGCACGTCCCCGCGACGGGGGAGCACAAGGTGCTCCGCGTCTACACCGCCGAATACGGCGAGACCAAGCAGTTGTGCGAGATCCTCACCCTCAGCGGCAGCGGCGGCAAGCAGCAGCGTTGGAGGCCGGCGCGGAGCCCCCCGGTGGTCGTCAGCACGGCGCCCTCCCGGCACTGGGCGGTCACGCGAGGGGTCGCCCACTTCTTGATCCCTTAGAGGGCCGAGTACGACGTCATCGCCTCGTTCGACCTGGCGACGGAGGAGTGGAGGCCGACGCTCCTCCAGTGCCCGCTCTCCTCCGACAAGCGCAACTGCTGCAGCGACAGCCTCAGCCTGGTCGAGCTCAACGGCTGCCTGGTGTTTGTGCACCATGACTACCTGTCCTACGCCATGGACATGTGGGTGCTAACGACGGACCTGGACAGGGGGACGTGGCTGAGAGTGGAGCCTCTTCCTCTAGGGAAGATTCTCCGTGGCGACGGCGAAATCATGGCGCAGCCGTTGATGGTGCTGGACGATGGACGCATTGCGTTCTGGGTGCGATACCCTAATAGCGTGGTGCGGGTGTATAATCCACGGACCGGCGGCTGTGAGGATGTGGTCAATTTCGGAAAATTGTGTAGCGTTGTTGGGTTGTACAGGGGAAGCCTCTTGGGGGTCAAGTAGCTAGTAGGTCAAAGAGAGTGTATGTGTTACCATTTGATTTGTTTTTAATAATTTGTTGATGTGTACGTGGTCATCGCATGCGTTTTGTTTCTCTATCATAGTTCTATGAATAAGAATGTTTTTTTGGAAACACTATAAATAAGAATGCTGGTTATGTGATTATTAGGGATGGAAACGGTCGGAAAACCTCTCAACCGTTTTCTACTTTTACATTTAAATACGAAAACGAAAGCGAAAGCGGTAAAGCCGGACATGAAAATAAACGCAAACTTACGGAATATCAAGAGTTTCAAAAACGAATTAATTCGAGCGGAATTACGTCGAACACAGTTGGTATACGGAAAATCAATACGGAATATTTACCCGTAGGACCAAGTGAATAATAATTAATAAGTCCTACAACTTTCTTAAAAAATATCTCCATTCGACACCATGTAAGAAAGATCTGATTTTTCTAAGGCAACAAACGCTTGGACGCGATTAATATACCGCTAAAACTTTGTTTAATTTTTTTGAACATCCTAAAGACCTCAAATGAAAAAACTAAAAACTAGAAAGCTGTAGATCTCGTCGAGAGCTATAATTTTTATATAAAAATCATCTTCATCCAGGATCGTATGAAAAAGATACAATTTTTCTAAGGCTGGACTTTTAGCGGGCCAAATTTGGTTTAAACCGAATTTCAAAACAATTTCGAATTCGGGATATTCCGAATTTTAAGTAGAAAAGTAGAAAAGTAGAAAACAGTCGAAACTGTTTTCGTTCCGATTTTGAATTTGATGTTCCAAATTTCGAACTGAATTTGAATTTGTTTGAAAATACGAATTCGATCATATTAAATGTAGAAAATGATGCGGTTCGGTACAAGATATTTTCGTACCGTTTTCATCCTTAGTGGCCCTGTTCGGCTTACCCCATATTCGGCTTGTTCGGTTTCTTTTTTCAGCCGGAACAATGTTTTCTCTCACAACAATTCAGCCGGAACAGTGTTTTTCAGTCAGTTTCAGCCAAGTTTCAGACCAGCGAACGGGGCCTATATATGTCACACGATCTATATACGGTTTTATTGTTGACATGAAAAGATTTAGAATTGGTATACTACTAGTAATAATATTGAACGTTCTATACATCATTAAGAGTAATAACCAGTATTTTAAAAATTGTAAAAAAACAGTAATTTAAATAACGAGCTATGACATTTAGCGATTTCCCTATTCAAGTTCAAATAACTAACAAGCTAAATCGGCTATAGCCACTGCTACGTAAAACATTTGCAGAGGTGGCTTTCAGCCGCCTCTACTTTTTCGTCCCTACACATATAAATGATTTGTAAAGACGATTTTTTAACTATTTATACAAATCAATTTGTAGAGATGGTTGAAAAACCACTTCTACAAATCAATTCATAGAGACAACTGAAAAATAAGAACACAAATATATTTCTAGTGACGGCTCGAAATAGGAGCCGCTTATAGAAATTGAGTTTCTAGAAACATCTTACAATATAGCCGCATCTACAAATCATTTTCTACAATGTAGAGCTGGCTAAATATAGAAATCGTTCCTATAAATAGATTTTTAGGGACGGCTGGAAATATGAGCTGTTTATCGAAATCGAGTTTGTAGAGGTGGCTCGAAATCAAGTTTCTAGATACGGCTCGAAATACAGCCGCATCTATAAATTATTTTCTAGAAATTATAAATCCAGCAAAAAATGGTAATTTTTTTTAGTCTAGGGAGGCCTTCCGCCACGCAGCCACACGGATCGCGCATCTCATCCCAAATCTTTAAGTCACGCAGCCACACGGATCGTTTTTTTACGAAGGCTCGAACCTTCGACCTCAACTCTAGCTCGTTACTCTCCTAACCACTACCACCCCTGACTTAAGGACACCAATGTTCCCTTCGTATTCACTTTACCAAACTCATCTAAAGATAGAAGTATTTTTAGAGGCGACTGTGAGTTCCAGCTGTGTCTAAAAATTGATTTCGATTTCTAGAGATGAATAGCTTGGGAACCATTTTTAGAGACAGATTTTGATTCAGCCGTCTCTACTAAAAATGGCTTTGTTACTAAAAAAAAGTTATTTATGTAGTAGTCATGTATTTTACTCTTATTTATTGGTCACTTTATTCCTTCTTGCAAAATGCAAACACACTACACACCACCACAGTGATGACTACATACAGTTATACTACTGCACTTCGGCTTATGCAGGTCGGGGAGAAGCTAGTGGTTGACGGTGACAGACAGACAGTAGTGATGCTGACGCAGCATGCATGTCTGAACTGAGAAATCATCAAGCATAGTCCTTGACCATGCTGGTGTAGTTGGAGAGCTTGTCGTAGTAGCGGTCCCAGATCATGAACCCGCCGTAGTTGTCCGCCTTCTGCACGGACGGCGAGACGTCGTAGTAGACGTTCTTGGGGTGCACCCACCCGTGCGTCATCTCCGACGCCGTCATCCCGACGTAGAACCTGGTGGCCGGGTACGCCGCCGTCCACTTGTCCCAGTCCAGGTGCCAGTACGCCTCGCAGTCGGCGTCGTCGTATATAGATCCTGACGTGGACGCCCTCGAAGATCCCCATGTCCCAGCGCGCGCTTCAGGTGGGGCCGGCGGGAACCCGCAGCGGGCGTCGCTGTCAGGTGCAGCGGCTTCCCGGGCCCGCCGCGGATGTTGTGCTTGGCGAGCTCCAGCGCCAGCCAGCACGTCGTACCGGTCGGCGGTGTCCGTGCCGTGCTCCAGGAACAGGTCGACGCCGTCCAGCCACGCGTCGCCGAACGAAGGGGCGGTGCACGCCGGGTTTGCTCCCGCCGAAGAAGGCGTTCCAGAGGTAGAGTAGCCGGAGCCGAAGCCGCCGATGGAGTAATATTGAAAGTTCTATACATTGTTAAGAGTAATAACCAGTATTTTAAATAATGGGCCAAGGCATTAAGCGATTTCCCTCTTCAAACAACTAATAGCAAGCTAAATCAGCTATAGCCACTATTATGTAAGACATTTGCAGAGGTGGTTGGGCGCCTCTACTTTTCCGTCTCCACACATCAATGATTCGTTGAGACGGTTTTTCAACCACCTTTACAAATTGATATGTAGACTAACACTACGAATCGATTTGTTGAACAGCTGAAAAATAAGAGCATAAATCGATTTTTAGGGGAGGCTATAAACATGAGCCGCTTTTAGAAATTGAGTTTCTAGAGGCGTCACGACATATAGCTGCATCTACAAATCATTTTCCACAATGTAGAGGTGTCGGTGATGTGAACCAGGGTACCTCACCGCCGGTATATTAGCCTAATACAGATAGGATGGGCCTAGGGCTGGATATCGAGCCAACTTGGCTCGCTATTGGCTCGGCTCGTTATAGCTCGGCTCGTTATGGCTCGTTATACAAACGAACCAGAAGACTAGCTCGGCTCTGGCTCGATAGCGAGCTCGAGCTAGCTCGTTTGGCTCTTGAGCCAAATCACGAAAACACAATATATAGAGATTATAACCGCAAGTTAGCAACAAACACATTACATACATATTTAAAATAGAATAAACAAAATACATATGAATTTTGGACTCGTCTCACGTGAACATGATATCGTGGGGTAGGCCAGTGGGGTGACTGGTGGGGCCATAGGGTCTATAAATCTAGGATTTTAGTGTTTAATCGTGTTGGGCCATAGGTATAGGGATATATGGACTGCTTAAAGTTATATTAGGCTGGGCCGATGGATATATGGGCTGATTACAGTTGTTGTCACGTGAATTACCTTGGCTCGTTTTGGCTAGCGAGCGGTTCACGAGCTGACTCATTAATTAACCAAGCTGGCTTGTTAATTCAAAATGTGCTAGAGTTTTACATTTCTGGGTAGGTTTGATGGGGTCAAAGACCAATTCCTAAATTTAGAAAAAGTTCTACCTTAACAATGGAACACAAATCACATTTTGGGAGAAGATAAATGGTCGCCTCCTGAGCTCTGAAGTTTCAGTATCCTAATTTATTTAACGTTGTGCGTAGGAAAAATGCGAGTGTCTTGAGCTCAATGCCAAGTGTACTGTGTAGGTTTCGGTATATAAGGAATCTAAATGACTTACTGGCTAATCTCCAAATATTATTTACCATAATAAGCAATGGTTGCCAACGAATCAAGTGTAATTATAGGCTCCAACACCTTAGTTTTTTTTACACCATCATTACTGTCAATTATTATGAAAAGATGACCGTATCTCATGTGTTAATAAATACTCTAGTTCCTTTGTGAACTACTAATTATACAAGGCTATATGTACAAACAAAAACAAGGTGTTATAAATTCTATAAGGCAATTGGTTTCTTCTAACTCTTTTAAAGAGGCTTAAATGTTGTCACAAATTTGAGATATACGCCCTCTGTTTTTTACATGTCGTATTAGGTTTCTCCTAGGTCAAACATTCATAAGTTTAACCATCAATTTCACATAATTCATGTAGTACTTTGACAACATGTGAACTATATATATACTACGCGAAAGTATTTCTCACAGTGTATCCAAATACATAAATCTTATGTTGTTAATCTATATATAATTTTTAAATTGATGGTTAGAGATAGAAATGTTTGAATTAGGACAAACTAATTTGATATGTAAAAAAAACAGATGAGCAAATTTAGGTGACCCTTTTTAGCTTTGTCATTTAGGATTAGAACAAGAATTAGGTGGTGGTACGTAGGTGCTATATATGACTAACTGTTTGATGGTTGAAATGACAATATCTTAATCAGCAACATATATATATATACACACACACACACACACACACAACATAATAGGTCTCAAGCCCTGGTAAAGGAGGAGGGTTGTGATAGGCGTGGCGAGGCAACGTTAAATCTAGCCATTCTAATGGAGATGAAACCCGAAAGAAAACCGTTGGGGCGTAACCCTCTTAGCGACGTGCCATATCGGAATCCGGGTATTGTGTTAAATGGGCAAGGGCCAGGTCGGCACCCCCTTGGTGACGCGCCGT